AGCTAGTTTATGGCTTCTGATTTTTTTGTATGTAATAAACAAATCAGTTACTCTTTCCATCTGACCTTTTACTGAAGCTCCCCCTAGACTTATGAACTTTAAAATCTCATTAGGGTTTTATTCTCTACTTACTAAAAGTTAAAAATTAAAAAGGCTGAAACCAACATTTATGATTTTAAAGGGTCAGCAGACATTTTCTGTGAAGTGTCAGATAGTAAATACTTTCTACTTTGGAAGCCATATACTCTCTGTCACAACTATTCAACTATGTCATTGTAGCACAGAAGTAGCCATAGATAATTCATGAACAAATAGGCATGGCTGTATTCCAGTAAAACTTTATTTACAAAAATAGCCTACAGGGCCAGCTTTGGCCCAAAGACCACAGTTTGCTGACCTGTGATTGAAAGTAAGCTTCCTCCTCCTGTCTTATCTGTCTATCTTCAGGAAGGAATCCTGACTGGAGAAGTGGCCACAGAATGTAGTATTTAGATTCTATCAAACACCATTACATCATCTCTGTTGCATGCGTGTACACACACACACACACACACACACACACACACACACACACACACACACACACACACACACACACACACACCAAGAAAATCTCCAGAGCATTTAGCTTGACTTTCCACATACAAAGGTAGGTCCTGGTCCCAGTATTTAACTATTTTTCTGCACCAGAGTGATGAACTCTCCCCATTTGTGGCTTTCCTGCAGGCAAAAATAACATCCCAACCACTTGTCACTTAAGCAGTATACATTACTTTTAAGCAAAGCTTCTTAAGCAGTGCTTTGCTAAATTAAATGTGCATAGGAGTTACCTGGAGAATTTACTAAAATTCATATTCTGATTCAGTCAGTCTCGGGTGGAACCTAAGATTCTACATTTCTGACAAGCTTCCAGTTGATTTCAGTGCTGCTTGTTCTTGGGCCACACTTTTGTTAGCAAGGTTCTAAGTACTATTTCTGTTATTACAACCCAGTCATCCAAGGTCTTACCACTGGATCCACAGAATCAAGAGCTGGTCTTCTTCAGGTGAGGTGGCATTCAAAGCTGTGTTTGACTATGATGACTTCAGTCAATTTGTTTGTTTATTCAGTTTGGTAGTTTCTATAGAACTAGAGGTTACCATTTGAAATGGTCCTTGGCCGCTTATTCTTATCTTTCATCCATACTGGAAAATTGGAAAACATTATCTCTTTGAATATTGCTCCATTCTTTATATTCCCTTCTAGGGTTCCTAGCAGATGCATGTTAGGCACTCTGATTATATCCTCCATGTCCACTTAACTTCTCTATCATATCTTATTTCTCTGTGTCTCTCCATGTTGCAATTTAGGTAATTTCTTCAGATTACTTCCACTTTATTTATTCTCTCTTTACCTGTGTCCAAGCTGCTGTTTAATCCATACATTAATTTTTTCAGTATCATTAATCACTTATTTTCTAAAGCTATATTGAAGTATAATTGTATAAACTGTACCTATATAAACTGTCCAATTTTAAAAAGTTTTGACATACGTATACACTAATAAAATCTTTACCACAATCAAAATAGTGAACATATCCATCACTCTCAAAAGTTTCCTCATGAACCTTGTAATCCCTTCCTTCTGCCTCTACCTCCCAACCATTCAAGTCCCATGCACCCACTGATCTTTCTGTCACTATAGATTTATTTGCATTTTCTCAAGTTTTATGAAAAATTGAATCATACAGTATATACTCTTTAGTCTGACTTCTTTCACTCAGCATAATTATTTTGAGGTTAATCCGTGCTGTTGCATGTATCAATAATTCATTCCTTTTAATTGCTGAGTAGTACTCTGTTGTGTGGACATACAGCAATTTTACAAATTTTTTTTGATTCTAGTAATATTTTTTTAATAGAAGCAGAATTCACATAGCATACAGTTAATTATTATAATGTGCATTATTCAGTGACATTGTGTATTCACAATATTGTGCAGCCAGCATCTAGCAATATTAACAATGCTACATTTAAGAATAATTTAACATTTGCATTACAATTTTTTGCATGAGTGCCTTTTTAAAAACAAGTTAAAGAAAATACAGTAAATAGCTCAGATTACACAATATTGTTCTTTCAGATTAGCTCGTCTCTCTCTCTCTATTAAACTGTGGCCTGCCTCTATAACCCCACTACTAGTGTGATGCCTAAAGTAAAATCGGTGCTTAATGAATATTTGTGAGAAGGAAAGGAGGGAAGAGAAATAGAAGAGAGAGAAGTGGGGAGGGAAAGAAGGAAGTTAGCTGGTTCAAAAAGTCCTCTCACAACAGGTGCCACATTTTGTGGCAGGGATCCCTGTATTTAATGGCCTTTCGTATCTGCAACAGTCTGCTTTAAAACAGAGCTGTTTACTTAGAATGCTTTTATTACAAACTGTATTTGTGCTCAGAGAGGGCTTCCAGCTGTGGTAGCTTTTAGAAGGTCCCTTTGTGTGTGTACATAGTGTCATAACGGGTCATTTCTGCCCAGCCAGTCAATTTCTTTGACTCAGGTAGGGCCACTTTATGAATGAGCTATATCATTTTCCTCCTTAATTTTTACTCTAGACAATAAATGTTTTATGCCTGGAAAGGCGGTTCATTTATTCAACAGATGCTTATTAAATACCTCCCCAAAGCTAGGCATTGTGTGAAACACTTGGAATACAGAGGTATGTAATATAGACAAGATCCCTGCCTTTATGGTGCTTACAGTGTCATGGGGGACTCTCACATTAAATAAATCATCATATGATAATTGATACAATTGTGATAAACGTTTTAAAGGGAAAGGACAGAATGCTACAAGAGAAATCTAAACTAATTTGAAAAGGTGGGGTCATGAAAGTATGTTACAATTAAAATCCTAAACATCTTAAATATTTCCCTACTTGAAATGTAAAAAGATAAGATTACTCTCATAGGTTGTTGATAATATTAGGAATATCTAAATTTGGAAAGATAGAGTTGTTCAGAGAGGCACAGATTCTTTAAAAATTCAATTCTTTAATTTAATAAATGACTGAAAAGGGAGACAGTGTTTACCCAAGAACACACAGCTTGCTACTAGCAGGGCTAGGAGTTGAACACAGGTCTTCTAATCTCCTCATTACCTCTCCTTGGTGACATAAAAAAATGAAGACATTATACATCAACTATAGATCAGCCATGGCCAAATGAACTATTAAGTGTCCAGTCTGTATAAGCTTGTATATTGAGTGGGCAAAGCTGTTTACAGAGTAAATGCAAATGCAGATATAAACAAAAACTACAGAATATGTCCTATCAGGCTGATTGCATCTGGTCATAGTAAAACTGTAGTATATAGACCAAAGTAGGAAATACCCAGTTGGAATCAGTGAAAATATCTTTAAAGGAAGATGCTTCTGTTGCTTTAAAATAAAAGTACTAATAGCTAAGTACGTCTCCAAGTAGGAGTTTTTAAAAACCTGTTTTTATTCATGTGTCATATTACATGACATGTAAATTATCTTGACTACTTTGCAGCCTAGGTGGTCTCTCAGGTTAAACATTGTTCCTGATATTTTGCCCCAAAATATAATTTCTCTGGCATACTCTTTTATCACAGGTGGTATAGCAATTAGCTTCAGGCCAACAACATCTGATTTTTCCTAATTTTTTATTTGAAAGATTAGGAATCAATGAAATGCTACTATTTATACCAGAGATTGTGGACTTAATGGAATCATTGAAACCAAAAGGAGTATGAGGCTTCAAGGAGAAGGCCAGTCTTGAATAGATATCAGAGAGAGTACCTAAGATAGTGCTGAGCATACACTCAGCCTGAGCAAGCATATATTGAACTGAGGAGACAAAAAGAAAGAATTAAGTTAAACTATATGAAATTTCCATTTTTATGGGTCAAAACCAGTCAAATATCGGTAACTTATGTATGATTCAGCCTATTGTGCAAAATGACCAGAAAGGGGGCTTCCCTGGTGGCGCAGTGGTTGAGAGACCGCCTGCCGATGCAGGGGACACGGGTTCGTGCCCCGGTCCGGGAGGATCCCACATGCCACGGAGCGGCTAGGCCCGTGAGCCATGGCTGCTGAGCCTGCGCGTCCGGAGCCTGTGCTCCGCAACGGGAGAGGCCACAACAGTGAGAGGCCCGCGTACCGCAAAAAAAAAAAAAAAAAGACCAGAAAGGGAACCTATACTCTAATGTCAACAGGTGTGGGTATTTATTAAATTTAAGGACATGTATATTGGCTATACTCCAGAATTTAACAAATAAGAAATTCTGGTAGTTGAATTAACTTTTAATTTTATATGAAATCACAGTTTAAATGTAGGCAGATGGCATAATCACTTCAGACACTAAAAATATTCTAAAAGATCTTCAACTTAGATAACTTACATTATCCACACTTCATGAGTGTGAATGTTGTCGGGAAATACTTATTTGATAACCAAGCTTTAGTGGTGTGATATGGACTAAAGTTAAGCAGGGTATTTTGCTTTCAACCTCTTTCTGTGCTGACCAGATTACTTCCTAGTCCTTTCCTCTCTCCCAGCCCTTAGTCCCAATGCTGATAACCTCCAAGTTTATCTTAGAAAAATCAGGAGTAAAGGAGAAGGGAACTAATCAGTGAAAATGAACTAAATGTCAGGTACTTTGCTAGACAGTTTATATATCATTGCATTGAATTCTCACAACCCTATGAGACAAATGTTATTTCTTTTTTACAGTTGAGAAAACTGAGACCTAAAGAGATTAAATAACTTGCCCAAGGTCACACAATTTGTAAGTGGTAGACTAGGCTTCAAACATTCTTATTTTCACTATCTACTGTGCTACTCACCTTATTATTTGTTAGCTTATTTATATTGTACACTTTAAAAATGTCTTGTTTAATTATAATAAATTTACACAGGAGTAAGACAAGGGGATTATTATTGTTTTTTTCTTTAAAAACAGTAATGTGGTAAAATGCATTTGAATATTTTCCTTTCTTTTAAGGATGAACGAGAAGCCAGAGAAAATGTGAAGAGAGAACAAGATGAGGCCTATCGCCTTTCACTTGAGGCTGACAGAGCAAAGGTAGGTTTGGTCAGGGGACTTCTGGGATAAAGAACTCAATCCTAAATAGTCTTTCATTATTTAAATGCCAGCCCTTTAATCATTTTGAAACCTAAGAGAGTTGGGTTTGCAGTGGAGAAAGCTAGTTTCAATTAACAGAAAGAATATAATTCTACCTCAGGTTCTTAAAGCATGGTTCATTTTGACAAGATAAATTTTTTCAAGAATCATGAGAAGTGAAAACAAAAATGGGCCTAGTGTTTACTTCATTTATTTTTAATCAGTCTGTGGTAAAATCTAGCAATGTTTAAAAAGCTCTTCAAGTGATTTTAATGTGCAGTCAGAGTTGAGAACCACTGACTTATTTAATGCTTCTTGAGCACCTGCTTCTGTACTGGGCATTGAAGGAGAGGAAAATGAATAAGCCACTCTTTCTGCCTTCAAAAGAAGGCTCACATTGTGCTGCAGAGTAGATTCAGTCAAGAGCACAGATAGCTGGAACACTTAGGCAAGGATCCTAAATGTTGTAAGGGAAACACTGAGTTCTGTGAGAGTTCAATGAACAGGATTTTCAGTGGAAAGTTTTTTCCAGCTTTTTTGGAGAGCCAAGAAATGGGAATGTACTAGGGAGGGTTTCATAGAAGAGATTGTATATTTGAAATGGATAGAGAAAGAGGGGTAGGAGAGGAAGTAATGTATGCTAGCAGCAAGGGGCCAGAAAGCATGGGTTCAAGATAGAGGCTGATGTGAATAGAGTTTTGATATTTGGGTGCAGGGGAGGTGGCAGGAAAGACCAGAAAGGAAGACCAGAGAAAGGTCTGAAGGATCTTGAATGCTACACTACCCAGAGCTACCTAAATGTTTGAATAGGAACCCACCATGATCATAGAGGTATGCTTTTGTTGTTGCTTTTATTTCCATCCTTGTTCCAGAGAGAAACACTTTCATTACCACAGTGTACCTCTGGGCCATGCTGAAAATGAACTTTTATTTTCTTTTTCTTTCTCTTTTCTTTCTTTTCTTTTTTTAAAAAAGTAGGCCAGTGTTTATTAAGTGTTGGATTCCTTTCTCTTTTATCAACAGAGGGAAGCTCATGAGAGAGAGATGGCAGAACAGTTTCGTTTGGAACAGATTCGCAAAGAACAAGAAGAGGAACGTGAGGTAGAGCATAATTTTTAGAAAAGTTATTCAAATGCTAGGTCTATTTCCATTGCATTTGATACTAAGGATGTTAATATTTCCTACAACTTCTTTCCACTTTTCCCAGATTCATTTTGATATGGAAGACTAATTTTCTTTAGAAGAATCATTCCCAATCTGTTGTGTTGAACTCTTAGAAAACTTGAACTTGTACTAGATTCATGGTTTTCTATTCTTTCCAATTCCTCTCCCCTTTCTTGCCTGACAAATACTCCCACCCTTCCTAAATATTGTCTCACCCAAAAAACACAAAGACTGTGTTTTCTCCCCTTTTCCCAGGATTTACTTTACCCACCAAAAGACACTGGGAGTTACTTCTGCAACATCTTTCACTGGGCCCCTATATGTGAGAAATCCATTTAACTTGGCTGATTTTTTTCCACCCTGAGTTCAGGTCATATCTGTGACAATATAGAGAATTTTTTCACTCACTCATTTGGCAAATATTGTTTTGACTACTTAGTGTGTGTCCAAAATCTGTTAGGAAGTAGGGATACAGATGTGGGCCCTATGCTCCAGGAGTTCATAGTCTTGTAAAAATAGAATTACATACTATATGTAAAAGTTATTATAGAGATTTACCTAAAGTGCAATGGGAAAAAAGAGAAAGGGTGTCAAATGACTTGCTAGGATGACCCACAAAAAACAGCTTTTAGAACTTTTTTCTAGACATGGGATTAGTGGCAAAATTCACTTATAAATAGAGGAAGCCATCTAACAAGTGATAGAAAGACCTGGAGGGCTCTAACTTGGGCTGATAACACTCCATTAGTCATCACACTTGGTCAGAGGATGCCACCTCATAACTTATTCAACAAATTTTTTTAATTAAAGTATAGTTGGTTTACAATGTTGTGCTAGTTTCAGGTGTACAGCAAAGTGATTCAGATATATATATATAATATATATAATATATATTATATATATATGCTATACAGTAAATCCTTGTTGTTTATTTTATACATAGTAGGGTATGTCTGTTAATCCCATACTCCTAATTTATCCCTCCCCACCTCTAACCCCCTATGGTAACCATAATATTTGTCTTTCTTGGTCTGACTTACTTCACTTAGTATGATCATCTTTAGGTCTATCCATGTTGCTGCAAATGGCAATATTTCATTCTTTTTTATGGCTGAGTAATATTCCATTGTATGTATGTAGCACATATTTTTTATCCATTCATCTGTTGATGGACACTTAAGTTGCTTCCATGACTTGGCTGTTGTAAATAGTGCTGCTATGAGCACTGGGGTGCATGTAGCTTTTCTTTTCTTTTTTTTTTTTTTTAACATCTTTATTGGGGTATAATTGCTTTACAATGGTGTGTTAGTTTCTGCTGCATGTATCTTTTCAAATTAGAGTTTTCGTCTTTTCCAGATATATGCCCAGGAGTAGGATTGCTAGATCATATGGTAGTTCTAGTTTTCGTTTTTTAAGAAACCTCCATACTGTTCTCCATAATGGCTGCACCAATTTACATTCCCACTTTCCCAGTGTAGGAGAGTTCCCTTTTCTCTACACCCTCTCCAGCATCAGCAAATGATTTTTGAGCAAGAACTATGCTAGGCACTGAAAGAGAAACAAAGGATAGTAAGACATTTTCTGCCTGCAAAGAGAGATTACATCTTGTAGGGAAGATACAACATGTCTACAAGTAACAGCAAATCAAGGAAGAACGTGCTAAGTAACATAAGAGAAATAAAAGCAAAATACTTAGAGTTCAGGGGCAAAGTAAAAATCTTTCACAGCTTTTGGAATCAGTCAACACTACAGAAGAACTGATATTTGAGCCAGGTCTTGAGAGATGTATAAGATTTCACTGTTTGGAAATGAGAGTTTATTCATGTTCAAACACTTATCAAGTGCCTATCACACAAGTACGAAATACTATGCCTGACAAACTCTAGTATCTGTCCATGCTGAGGACTCTCAGTAATGGAAGGTAGAAAATATTTTGTTGAACATCTTCTGTGTATCAACTACTCTGCTGCCTGCTTTACCTATGCTTACTCATTGACCATTAAAACAAGCTACAAGGGAAGAGATTTCTCCTTTTTTAAAAAATTATTTTTATTTATTTATTTTCGGCTGTGTTGGGTCTTCGTTGCTGTGCACGGGCTTTCTCTAGTTGCAGCAGGCAGGGGCTACTCTTCGTTGCAGTGGGCAGGCGTCTCATTGCTGTGGCTTCTCTTGTTGTGGAGCACAAGCTCTAGGTGCACGGGCTTCAGTAGTTGTGGCACATGGGCTCAGTAGTTGTGGCTTGGGCTTTAGAGTGCAGGCTCACTAGTTGTGGCGCAGGGGCTTAGTTGCTCCACGGCATGTGGGATCTTCCCAGACCAGGGCTCAAACCCGTGTCCCCTGCATTGGCAGGTGGATTCTTAACCACTGCGCCACCAGGGAAGACCCAGTTAACTTATTTTTATTTTCCTTTTCAATGATATAAGAATTTTAAGGCTATGAATTTCCTCTGAGCACTGCTTTAAATGAATCCCAGAGATTCCAATATGAATATGAAATTTCAACAAATGTTTTCTAGATATTCTGTAGTTTTCATTATATTTCCCCTTTTACCTAAGAGTTGTTTAATAGGGTTTTTGTTGTTGTTGTTTTTTCTCCAAAGGGAGTGACACCAACTTTGAAAATTGTGTTGAGATTTTAGAGAACATATATCCCAATTTCTCTCACTCATGTTAATTGGGGAAAATTTTTGTTTTCCCTATTGATGAAAATTGGGAACATGGAAATGTGAAAGTAACCAGAAACACAGTATAACTGTGAAGCCGAGCATGCTAATACCAGGCTTACTTGTCTAAGGAACCTGACACAGCTCTAGGAACAAAAAGGTTTTAGTGAATTTCTGCCACAGACAGGGACATCAGAGATCTTTAAATTCCTTGCACTGGAATATCTTGAATGTGAAACAACGTAATACTAGATTGAGAACTAGAGCCCAACTCTAGCCATGAGATCTCCCAACAGTTTGTCCCACCTGTTTGAGTCTGTGCCACATCTAGGTCCAGAAATGTGGACTTGGCCAAATCTCACAGCAGTTTAGTGGCAAAGCTGGAACTAGGACCATAGTCTCCTGCTCCCAATAAGCCTGATATTTTAATTTCTTTCCATTCCATTTTTTTATTGTAGCAAAATATATATAACAAAAATTTGCCTTTTTAACCCTTCTTAAGTACAGTTAAGTGGCATGAATTACATTCACAGTCTTGCAACCATGACCATTATTTCCAAACATTTTCATCACCCCAGACAGAGTCTTTCCTCCATTTTGTCGTTAATATATTATCCATAATTATACGAAATCTTCAGTCATTTCTACTTGGGAAATGTATGTTCTCGCTCTCTTTTGCGCGCTCGCGCTCTCTCTCCCACTCTCTCTCCCTCTCTCTCTTTTCCTCACCCCCCATCTCTCTCTCCTTCTCTCTTTCTCTCTCCACCCCCATCTGTGTGTGTGTGTGTTCGCGTGCACACGCGTCTTTTGCAAATACTTCTAATAGCCTTAATTCATACCCTAGAAAGGAATCACGAATACCTGAGCCCTTCGGTAAAAAATAAATTACCTTTCTTCTCTGTGTAGTTACCTATCAATTTAATGTCTCATCAAGGTGGGATTTATTTTAATTAATTGCTTATTGGGCTAATATTAAGAAAATGAAAAACACATAATTCTGTTGTCCAAGCATTAGGCTTAGTTAATAAATGGGCAGTAGCTTTTGATGAGTTTCTAGGAAGCAGCAGGTTTTTTCTAGTCTCTCCCTCCCCCACCCCCCACAATTCCATCCATCAACAGTTTAACACCTGATTTTTGCCCTCTTTAGGCCATCAGACTCTCCTTAGAGCAGGCCCTGCCTCCAGAGCCAAAGGAAGAAAATGCTGAGCCTGTGAGCAAACTGCGGATCCGGACACCCAGTGGCGAGTTCCTCGAGCGGCGTTTCCTGGCCAGCAATAAGCTCCAGATCGTCTTTGATTTTGTAGCTTCCAAAGGATTTCCATGGGATGAATTCAAGTTACTGAGTACCTTTCCTAGGAGAGATGTAAGTTCCCATGCCTATCTCGGGAAGTATGTCCAGATGGGAGATAGCCCATCATCAGGGCTGGACAAAGTAGTCCAAGAAAAGTGCCATGGCACAACTTACCACAAGACCACACACTCAGGAGTCCTTCTTTGTTCTGCACACCTTTCTCTCCTCAGCCTTTGGAGAAGGTATGGCTTCCCAGGCCAGCAGACATGTGCCTAGTAGCCTAGGTAAGAAATTAGGTACTAGGTCTTCCTTCCTAGTTGTTTCCCCTATTCCAGCACTCATACAGGCTTTCCCAAGATTTCATCTACCTTAGGGTAGATCTGAGAATTATGTGCTTAACAGCTTAACAGTCAGATCAGGGTCAATGATTATAGGTTCGTGAACAAGTCATGCTAAACCAAGAGTATTTTGTGATTTGACAGTTCTTACTAGCCTGGGAAGTCAGGGAGGGTGAACTATATTCACTGTGTATCTGTATTTCAGCAAGGCTTTTGATAGTCTCTCATAGTGTTCTGGGGAAAAATAGAGAGATGTAAATCGACAGGTAGATTCATTGCTGATTAAATGGGTGTGTCCAGAAACTGTTGAGTAAGAGACTGCCCTCTCCCTGGAGGGAAACAAGAGGCTGTATATTTAATTCTTTATTACTCATCACACTTATTGGCAACTTAAATGAAGACGTTATCAGGTTTATGGATTATGAAAAATAAGATTCAAGAAAGCCTTAAAATAGTGAAATAATAGGCAAAAATGAACCTAGAAAAATTTTACAGAAATATATAGACATAGAAAGAGATGCCTGCATAGGCTTAGAAAACCAATTGTTCAAGTTTGGGATGAAAGAATCATGCTTTAGTAGAGGTTATTGTGGTTGAATTAAGCTGAATATACATTAATAATCTGTTGTGACTCCCAACAAAAAGCCAGCTGCATTTTTAGAGGTTTAATCCCAACAAGAGAATAACAAATCGTAGTCAACTGTTTACAAAGATAAACTACCCCTGAGTAGTCCTTAGACTCCATGCTGAAACTCTGTGCTGTCTCCTGAAGAAACAGGAGATTGGGAGTTTCCTGGCAGTCCAGTGGTTAAGACTCCACGCTCCCAGTTCAGGATGCACAGGGTCGATCCCTGGCCGGGGAACTAAGATCCCACATGCCTCATGGCATGGCCAAAAAAAAAAAAAGCAACAGGAGCTTATCTAGAACAGGGCTGGTAGGAAGGGAAGGGAAGTGGAAATCATATCATTTGGGGAAATATTTTCTCTAGAGAAGGCACGGCCATGGGAGATGTGATTTTTGTCTTCAGCTACTTGAAAGCCTGCCGTGAAAAAGAGGGATCTGATTTTGTGCAGCTTCAATGATAAAGTGGGACCAATAAGTTGAAAGTTATTGGGAGGCAAATTTGGCCCAATGTAAGAAAGCTACTTTCTAAGAAAAGAATATTTTGTGTTGTGAGGTAGTGATTTTTCTATTTTTGGAGATATTGAAGCACTACTGAATTATCACTTTTTTTATAGTAATGGATAAATAGGGAGAAGGAGTCATTCCTGGAGTTCCTACTTTATATGTTCCTACTTTATATGAAAAGGGGCTTAGACTAGCTCATCTCTAAGATATATTTTTTGGGGGGCCATGGTATATAGTTGCTTTACAATGTTCTGTTAGTTTCTGTTGTACAATGAAGTGAATCGGCTACATGTATACACATATCCCCTCCCTCCCACCCCCATCCCCAACCCATCCATCTAGGTCACCACAGAGCATGGAGCAGGCTCCCTGTGTTGTATAGCAGGTTCCCACTAGCTACCTGTTTTACACAGGGAAGTGCACATATGTCAATCCCAGTCTCCCAGTTCATCCCACCCGCCCGCCCTGTGTCCACACATCCATTCCCTACATCTTTGTCTTTATTCCTGCCATGCAAATAGGTTCATCGATATCGTTTTTCTAGATTCCACATACATGCGTTAATATACGATACTTGTTTTTCTCTTTCTGACTTACTTCACTCTGTATGACAGACTCTAGGTCCATCCACCTCACTACAATAACTCAATTTCGTTCCTTTTTATGGCTGAGTAATATTCCATTGTATATATGTGTCACATCTTCTTTATCCATTGCTCTGTCGATGGACACTTAGGTTGATTCCATGTCCTGGCTATTGTAAATAGTGCTGCAGTGAACATTGGGGTGCATGGTCTTTTTGAATTATGGTCTTCTCAGGGTATATGCCCAGTAGTGGGTTTGCTGGGTCGTATTGTAGTTCTATTTTTAGTTTTTTAAGAACCCTCATACTGTTCTCCACAGTGGCTGTATCAATTTACATTCCCACCAACAGTGCAAGAGGGTTCCCTTTTCTCCCCACCCTCTCCAGCATTTATTGTTTGTAGATTTTTTGATGGTGGCCATTCTGACCAGTGGGAGGTGATACTTCATTGAAGTTTTGATTTGCATTTCTCTAATAATTAGTGATGTTGAGCATCTTTTCATGTGCCTCTAGGCCATCTGTATGTCTTCTTTGGAGAAATGTCTATTTAGGTCTTCCGCCCATTTTTTTAATTCTGCTGTTTGTTTTTTTGATATTGAGCTTCATGAGCTGTTTGTATATTCTGGAGATTAATCCCTTGTCAATTGCTCCATTTGCAAATATTTTTGCCCATTCTGAGGCTTGTCTTTTCATCTTGTTTATGGTTTTCTTTACTGTGCAGAAGCTTTTAAGTTTCATTAGGTCCCATTTGTTTATTTTTGTTTTTATTTTCATTACTCTAAGAGGTGGGTCAAAAATTATCTTGCTCTGAATTATGTCAAAGAGTGTTCTTCCTATGTTTTCCTCTAAGAGTTTTGTTTTGTTTTGTTAACTTATTTTATTTTTGGCTGCATTGGGTCTTCATTGCTGCACGTGGACTTTTCTCTGGTTGCAGTGAGCAGGGGCTACTCTTCGTTGTGATGTGCAGGCTTCTCATTGTGGTGGCTTCTCTTGTTGGGAGCACTGGCTCTAGGCACGTGGGCTTCAGTAGTTGTGGTGCACAGGCTTAGTTGCTCCATGGCATGTGTGATCTTCCCATACCAGGGCTCGACCCATGACTCCTGCACTGGTGGGCGGATTCTTAACCACTGCGCCACCAGGGAAGCCCCCCTCTAAGAGTTCTATAGTGTCCAGTCTTACATTTAGGTCTCTAATCCATTTTTAGTTTATTTTTGGGTATGGTGTTAGAGAGTGTTCTAATTTCATTCCTTTACTTGTAGCTGTCCAGTTTTCCCAGCACTACTTATTGAAGAGACTGTCTTTTCTCCATTGTATATCCTTGCCTCCTTTGTCGTAGATTAGTTGACCATAGGTGCGTGGGTTTATCTCTGGTCTTTCTATCCTGTTCCATTGATCTATATTTCTGTTTTTGTGCCAGTACCACATTGTCTTGATGACTGTAGCTTTGTAATACAGTCTGAAGTCAGGGAGTCTGATTTCTCCAGCTCCATTGTTTTCCCTCAAGTTTGCTTCACCTATTCAGGGTCTTTTGTGTCTCCATACAAATTTTAAGATTCTTTGGTTCATAAAAAATCATTTCTGTAAAAAATACCATTGGTAATTTGCTACGGATTGCACTGGGTAGTGTAGTCATTTTCACAGTATTGACTCTTCCAATCCAAGAACATGGTATATCTCTCCATCCGTCTGTGTCATCTTTGATTTCTTTCATCAGTGTCTTATACTTTTCTGAGTAGAGTTCTTTTACCTCCTTAGGTAGGTTTGTTTATTCCTAGGTGTTTAATTCTTTTTTGTTGCAGTGGTAAATGAGAGTGTTTCCTTAATTTCTCTTTCTGATTTTTCATAGTGTATAGGAATGCAAGAGATTTCTGTGCATTAATTTTGTATCTTGCAACTTTACCAAATTTATTGATTAGCTCTAGTAGTCTTCTGGTGGCATCTTTAGGATTATCTATATATAGTATCATGTCATCTGCAAACAGTGGCAGTTTTACTTCTTCTTTTCCAACTTGTATTCCTTTTATTTATTTTTCTTCTGATTGCTGTGGCTAGAACTTCCAAGACTATGTTGAATAATACTGGCAAGAGTGTACATCCTTGTCTTGCTCCTGATCTTCGAGGAAATGCTTTCAGTTTTTCACCATTGAGAATGATGTTTACTGTGGGTTTGTTGTATATGGCCTTTATTATGTTGAGGTAGGTTCCTTCTGTACCCACTTTCTGGAGAGTTTTTATCATAAATAGTTTTGAATTTTGTCAGAAGCTTTTTATGCATCTATTCAGATGACCATATGGTTTTTATTCTTCAGTTTGTTAATATGGTGTATCACATTGATTGATTTGCATATATTAAAGAATCCTTGCATCCCTGGGGTGAATCCCACTTGATCATGGTGTATGCTCCTTTTAATGTGTTGTTGGATTCTGTTTGCTAGTATTTTGTTGAGGATTTTTGCATCTATATTCATGAGTGATATTGGTCTGTAATTTTCTCTTTTTTGTAGTACCTTTGTCTGGTTTTGGTATCAGGGTGATAGTGGCCTCATAGAATGACTTTGGGAGTGTTCCTCTTTGGGAGTGTTAGCTCTTCTCTAAATGTTTGATAGAATTCACCTGTGAAGCCATCTGGTCCTGGACTTTTGTTTGTGGGAAGATTTTTAATCACAGTTTCAATTTCATTACTTGTGATTGGTCAGTTTACATGTTCTATTTCTTCCTGGTTCAGTCTTGGAAGGTTATACCTCTCTAAGAATTTGTCCATTTCTTCCAGGTTGTCCATTTTATTGTCATAGAGTTGCTTGTAGTAGTCTCTTGTGATGCTTTGTATTTCTGTGGTGTCGGTTGTAACTTCTTCTTTTTCATTTCTAATTTTATTGATTTGAGTCCTCTCCCTCTTTCTCCTGATGAGTCTGGCTAAAGGTTTTTCAGTTTTTTTTATCTTCTCAAGGAACCATCTTTTAGGTGATTGATCTTTGCTATTGTTTTCTTTGTTTCTATTTCATTTATTTCTTCTCTGATCTTT